ATAGAATACATAGGAGATCGACAAAATGAACTTGAGTTTAGAATGATTGTGAACATAAGGACATCTGTGTTACCCCCTTAACTTACAACAGCTCACAGCATGACTGGAAAAGTCTGAAACAGCACCTTTTTGGACTCAGGGAAGATGGCCTTAATACTTCAGTCCAAAAACGAGAAAGTCAGTTCATACTCCTATCTTCGCCTCTTAAAACTTCATACAGCTGAGTCAAACATATAAAATATCCAAGAAGCCTTTTCTTTGATACACCCCAAATCATGGCTCCCTCTCTTTCAGTACACACTCATTGGCATTAATAGGACTATTCGTAATCATTTTCATTGTCTTCATTATAGCATGCAAACTCAGACTAGGAGCCAGCCTAATAGCCCAGAAGACTCAAGACTCAAGACTCAAGACTCAATCCTAACCGTTCAACATGAAGCTGTCACCGATGCCCCTGCCACAATATATGAAAACCTTATAGCGACCCCTGTTGATATTATCACCATAAACAAAAAAGGGGAGATATATAGATAGTAGAATGGATAAAAAAGATATAGGGGAAGGCTCTGGCCCTGAGAAGACACTGGCTAAGAGCAAAACAAGGGGTAGGCCGCAAAAGGCCCCGCCCAGAAAGTTAATGAACATAAATCTTCATGAGAGCACTCTTAGCAACAGGATTTGGCTGTATTGTCACATCCTTTGTACTCCCCCTGTTTTCACGCACTTCCTTATCTTAATTAAGAGCACCTGACTCAAACATGTATGTAACTGAACAAGAATGTAACAAAGAATAATGAATATATTATTTATTATAATATATTATTATATTACATCTGCCAAAAATTGTAATATATTATTATATTACATCTGCCAAAAATTGAGAATAAAAATGGCACGCGGGGAAGAATTTGGGGCGACTCATGATAAAGCCCGCTCACCTTCCAGCTCTCAGATCTGTCTCCGGAAAACTTCCACCCCTTGACCAAGGTTGCAGGCCAATACAGCATTATGGTGCTCTGGTAGCCTAGTGGTTACGAATCGGGCTGCGAACCTGAAGGTCAGCAGTTTGAAACTACCAGCTGTTCCACGGAAGACAGATGAGGCTCTCTGCTCCCGTAAAGATTTACAGCCTCGAAAACCCTGTACAGGGTTACTATGAGTCCGAACTGACTTCATGGCACATAACAACAACAATGACAAATGCAAAATACTTGTAAAAGAGCCTGGTAAATTTTAAGTAGTCATTTAGGTTTGACTATGGTGATTCAGATAGTCAGATTCTGAATAGAAACAAAGACTACCTTTCATTTCCTCTAAGAGGGAAACTGAAAGAGAATTTTGTAAAATAGCAAATGAATGCTCAGTGACTAGCATTATGTAAGGATGGATATTACTCAAGTCCTTGAAATCTTTTTAGCCAAAAGCATATTAAACTCTCAGCAGGGTTTGGCTCAATTAAGAAATGCTTTTCTCCAAGTCATCTGTGAACGAAGAAATAAAAACCTAATCAGTTTACATTTCAAATCATGTTAGGTACACACAGTGGATAGAAACAGGCATTTGAAGCACAACATTTTAAGATTTGAATTTAAATTGAGCCATTGTTGGATCATTTGAGGTAAAGGTTTTTTCATCTGGCTAATCTGAACTGCAAGGTCGGTGGTTCAAGCTCACCGACTGCTCCTCAGAAACCCTATATAGGGTCACTATGGGTCGGAACTGACTCAGCGGCACTTCACAACAACAATCTTGTTAATACATCTGAGAAATATGAATATAAATGACCAAGTCACAGGATTTTTTAAGGATTAATGACATAATGCATACACAGCTCTGAGAGTAGAATTTGCATACTATACAAGGAATATCTACCGTGCATACAGAATCATGTGTTAAAGAATATGTCATGTTTTACATGCGCTAACATATTTTATACCTGAGAAAAATGTTATATTTTTCTTCAAGGAAGTAAGATCTTATATCCTCAAGGGAGTAAGGTCTTGAATGGAGATTGAAACATTTGCAATGTTGTGTTTTTTAGGTGCCATTGGTGACTCAGATCATGGGAACACTGAATGGTTTAAAATGAAGAAAGTGTGTGACAGGGTTGTATTCTTTCACCATACTTATTCAAACTGTATGCTGAGCAAATACTACAAGAATCTGGGCTAAATGAAGAAAAATGTGGCATCAGGATTGGAGGAAGACTCATTAACAACCTGCGATATGCAGATGATACAACCTTACTTGCTGAAAGTGAAGAGGACTTAAAACATTTACTGATGAAGATCAAAGAGCACAGCCTTCAATATGGATTACATCTCAATGTCAAGAAAACAAAAATCCTCACCACTGGACCAACAAACAACATTCTTATCAATGGAGAAAAGATTGAAGTTGTCAAGGACTTCATTCTTCTTGGATCAACTATCAACACTCATGAAAGCAGCAGTCAAGAAATCAAACAATGTGTAACTTTAGGCAACTCTGCTGCACAAGACCTTTTTAAAGTGTTGAAAAACAAAGATGTCAGCTTGAGGAATAAATGCACCTGACCCAAGTCATGGTATTTTCAATAAACTCATATGCATGTGAAAGCTGGAAAGTGAGTAAGGAAGACCATAAAAGAACCGATGCTTTTGAGTTATGGTGTTGGAGGAGAATATTGAAAGTGCCATGGGCTGCCAAAAGAACCAACAGATCTGTGTTGGAAGAAATGCAGCCAGAGTGCTCCTTGGAGGCCAAGATGGCCAAACTTTGTCTCTCATTCTTTGGACATATATAATCATTTAAACAACCAAAAGGCACATTCTGGAAGCCTGCCTCCTGGCCGCCAGCACTCAATCCCTCTCTTTCCATGAATCTAGAGTCTTCAGCTGCTCCCTGTCTCTATGTCCTCATCTCCGCCTCCATCTCTGGTGTTGCTGCTTCTCTGGATAGGGTCCAGCATTCCACTTGTTCTCTTCTCACTTAATGGTTCTAGGATCCTCTGTTTCTGGACTGTAAAATTAACTACTTCTCCATTTTTGTTACAAAATTTCTACCTTTATAGTTGTGACAATTGCAACTAGTCATGATAACAATTAATCACTATTGAATCATAAGAATCTTATCCTCATCTCCTTTCACCAAACCTGTCCAGACAAGATGAAAACTACTCAGTTGAGACTCTACCTTCCCCTGCACATTCTTAAACTAAACCTTCCTCTTGAAAATTTATAAGCCAGTCACTTCGTACCTTTATCCCCCTCTCATTTTAGGTAGCCGATATCTAAGTTGTCCATCCCTATCTACCCTGTATACAGAGGGGATAACATTGATACTTGATAAGAAGACTCCTTCCCTCATTGTTGGTATTTTGAGCTACTACATCCATGAGTATAGGTCAAGTTCATCAAATTGTAGCAATTTACCTTCATTTCCTTAATCAAAAAAAAATTTTTTTTAATCTTCCTCTAGTAAATTTCTGATTGTCAAGCCATCAAGGCTAGGTCAAATGGGAACTATGTGCAAGTTTGGGTGTTCTTGTGCATCTCCCCTCACTTTGTATCAGCTCTGATATTCATTTTTGAAAGTTATCTGTTAATAAAAACCCATATAATATCCAAATAGCTTCATAAGCACTATTATACAAATCCAACTATACAACTGCTGATGCTGGACTTTTATATGTCTACAATAGGATATAAATGTTATATGTATTATTAAACCCTAGTGCAAGAGAATTTAATCTAGTTATAAATAGTAATTTAGAGATGTGAGTCTAGATGAGACCTTCCAGTTTGAAAGTCAGCAAAAGAGGAAGGGTATCGTCAAGAAGAAGGAATATCATATGCAAAGTAAATGGAAGCACTGGCTGGTTGGGTAAATTAAAGCAGCTCAGTGTCTTTGGTATCTGACGGTGGGACGTCATCAACTGGTGTGCAGGAGGAGTAAGTGCTGTAGTGAGGTAAGTAAGTAAGTAAGCGAGTAGATGAAACGTCAGTGAAAGTGGTTGGTCACACAGGGAAGAGATCCCTGAGGTTAAAGGGATGAAACCGTTAACGTGTAGAGGCTTCTCTGACACACACAAACGTTCCATACTACACTGGCTATAGACAACTGTAGAGATGGAAGTAGAATGAATAAAAAAGATTTAGGGAAACGTTCTGGCCATAAGAAGACTCTGGCTAAGAGCAAAACTAGGGGAGAGGATGCAGACAGCGGCCCAAAGAGTTAACGAACACAAATAGTTATCAGAACAGTAATAGTTATAGGTACCAGATGTACTCTCTATCCTGTTGTAATCTCTCTGTTTCATGCACTTCCTTATATTAATTAAGAACACGATATAAACATGCTTATAACTGAACAAGAATGTAACAAAGAACAATCAACATAGGGTGCGCAAAAAACTGTGAATAAAAACCGAAGCCAGAAAAGAACTCCGGATGATTCCGGATGAAGCCGGCTCTTCTCCTAGCTCTCAGATTTGCCTTCTGAGTAATTTCTGCCCCTCTTTTCAGGATTGCTGCTCAATTCAGCAGACAAGAGAGGAGGAATTCAAACGAGGTGGTTTAGGAGGCCAGTTTCCACCTGGAGACACCTGCTACCTCCACTTACGCGGAAACCATGCTACCACTGATCAGGAAGCTCAGATCTTCACTCGGTTTCAAACTGCTAGGCTTGTGTCCTGCTATCGCGGGACTCCCCAGCCAGAAGGCGGAAAAAAACAACCCTTGGAGTCAGCTCCTGGGGACGGGCACCTCGCGCCTGACTTTTCCCCATCGCGCGCCCGGAGGGATCAAGAGTTTCCTCAGAACGTTTGCTGTTTACAGCGCAGAGCACACTGGGAGGACGAGCAGGCCGGAGGAGGACACCCCTAAAACAGTGGTCCCCTGGCTCCCAACCTGCTAGATTTTTCACTTTCGCTTCCAGGCAGCGTTTTCCTCCCCGCCCACAGCTAGGTTTCGTTTCCCAGACACGGCCAGAGGGAGGCAACGCAGGGAGGTGGCCCCATGGCCTTTGCCAGCCGCCCTTCCGCCCAGCTACTGTTCCGGCGACTCTCTCGGCAGTTGTGCCAGCGGCGCGGGGCCTGCGAGAGGACGATGACTCCGGACCGTTGTTTCGCCCTGGAACTCCCCGACTGCACTTTGGCTCACTTCACTCTTCGCGCCGGCGCCCCTGGCAACCCTCAAGAAGCCTGCCAGCATCCCCGTCTGGCCGCAATTCTGGGCTCCCCGGGACGCAGCTACTCCCTCTGCGTCCCAGTAGCGCCTGAAGCTGACTACGCAGCCCGAGTCCGGGCTGCCAAGTTGCATCAGCGGCTACTGCACCAGCTGCGCGGCGGCCCTTTTCAGCTATGCCAGCTGCGAAGGCTACTCTCCTACAGTCCCGGCGGCCAGCCCGGGAGCTCGCAGCATGGCTTCCTGCTCCGTGACCCCCGGGACTGCTTGGAAACCAGGCGTGCACTGATTGAGCTGCTAGGGGCATTCAAGGAAACCCTGCACCCACACCTGGGGGAGTTTGAGACTGACCCGCACGGGCAGTTGTGGCAACGGTTGTGGACCCTGCAGGACGGCGAGTGCCTGGAAGTGGGCTGTGCGTTAGTGATACCCACCCAGGAGCCCCCGCTTCACCCAGTTCTGCCGGACCTACCCAGTTCGGTGGTCTTCCCCAACCGGGAAGCAGCCCGGGCAGTGTTAGAGGCGGTAAGAGTTCTGCCCCTTCTCAGTTTGATATCTGGACACCCCAGATGAGAAAACGGAACACAAAACAATATACTGTCAGGGGCTTGGGCTGTAAAGATATATATATATATATTTTTTTTTATTAGACAGCCCCCCTCATCCCTCCACCATAGTTAGTGAGCATCTACTATATGCCAGGTTCATAATTTGGCTAATTCAAGATTCTTGACTGCACAGAAAGCTGGGGCATAGATACCCAAGCACTAAATAGGTAGGATACCTGCTATTTGTGCATGCTGAAAATATTACACAAGTAATGTACAGGCTGACTCTATGGTGGAAGATTATGGCATCTAGGAAGTAACTTTATTTACGGGTGGACACCATTAGTGTAGACAAATAGCCAGGCATTTGGAGTTTCAGCGACTTAGATTTACTATCTATTTACTTAATGGCAGTAGACCTTGTTGTGCAAGTTACTCAACTATTCTAAATTTTTTTTCTTTCATCTTTCAATTGCCTATCATGCAGGGCTGTTATGCATATTATAATTAATTAAATATCTGACACCTAGCAAGTGCTCATTGAATGATGATTATAATTAATGAAACATCTGACACATAGTAAGTGTTCAGTGAGTGAGATCTAAGAATCTTTCCAACTACAGCCTAGGGGACTCTGACTTCGCCTCCTGAGGATGAACCATGCATCTTAGGTAAAATTTGCAAGTGTTCTGGGGACAATTGGGTGGTCAGGTCATCTGCCTGGGTGTGAATCTCAACTCTGGCATTAAGCTGTGTCATAAAGTGTAGCACATTGATTATATTTCTTAAACAATCTTTCCTTCAGGTTCCTTAATCCATATTCTATGGATAATAACAATATCAGCCTCTTGGAGTTGTCATGAGGATTGTCTAAGTTAACACTTGCAAAGTACTTAGAATATTACCTAACACAGAGGAAGAACATCAATAAATAATGTCTGAGCCTCACAGTTATAATGATGCTGTGAGTATGCAATGAAGTAACGCAGTTAAGAACTTTGAATTCCCAAAGAAGATATTGCTATGCTGGATTTGTGATTTGTAGTGTTTGACACTTTTCTCAGGTCCTCCTGGGGGGATAAGGAAGGCTTAAGATGCAGGATGGCTTTCTTATGGAGACTGTCTGTAGTATAGTTGATTTCTTTCAACTGTGAATCACTGCTCCCAGCAGGGCCTTGTGTGTTGTTCCAGTGTTGTTGTGTCTTGTTTTCCAGTGTTGCCTGTGTTACACTGTGGTTCAATTATGCATGCTTGTGTGGCCTTCCTTTTGTACTGGAAACTGGTCAGTGAGAACTGTGGGTTGAGTGATCCAGATGAAATTGCCTCTTTCAGTTGCAGTTATCAGTATAAAATGAAGGAGCTTAGCTGCATGACTGAAATGACACTACATATAACATATGCTTTTTTAGTATTGAACAGCCTTACCCTCAATAACTTAGACCATGGCTTTGGAAAATTCCCCATTATTTCATTGTTGATGGATAGACATTGTTTTACAGTGTACATCCTTTATTCCTGAAGCACAAGTGGTGCTTGACCTGGTTGACCAATGCCCAAAGCAGGTCCAGAAAGGAAAGTTCCCGGTGATTGCCATAGAAGGACTGGATGCCACTGGTAAGAGAACACTCCTTTTAAGTTATAGGCAATGATGTGGCTGGATCTGTTTCAGAAATAGACAGGTCTTGCAAAACAAAACTTTATACAGAGTTAAATAGAATAAGCCTTAGTGAACCTCTACTGTGTGCCAGGCACTAGACTAAGCAATAGGGGTACAGAGAAGGGTAAGATACAGCATTTGCTCTCTTATAAATAACTTTACTATAAAATGATAGGAGCTGGAAGACCTTCAGTGGTATGTTAGAACATAGGAAGACACTTAGTCTAGTTATTTGGGGAGAGTTAGAGGATGAAGTGTTTGGCAAGAGATAGTTTTGAAAAAGATGATACTTGATTTTGCTTTGACTGTGAATAGCTGGTCAAGTGATGAAAAGCAGAAAAGGTTCTTCAGGTGAAAGAAGCAACATGGTCAAAGATACAGACACAAGAAGCTAGAACTAGCATGATGGGTCTGAGAACCACAACAAGCACTCAGGGTTCCTTCTTGAAACAAAGCTTGGAAAACCTAGGAAGTAGGAGACAAAAAAGTCTTTTGAGCTGCCAAATGGATATCAAAATGCAATCATTGTGCTAACACTTGGACCAACATGCAAAAAGGGAAATGGTTTCTGTGAGTGCAATGTGAAATAACCAAGGTAAAGGTTGGTCTTGAAGAACAATAGTATAGTAAGGTCTTCAACATCTGGTCCAGCATAAAGAGGTTCTCCTTCCCATGTCTGAGGAGATGCAGGCTTTTATTTTAATTATTTAAATTACAAGGTAATTTCTATGTCGAGGTCGTTTAGTTACAAATGGGATGTGGCACAAGTAGATGACTCATTTTGATTGTCCTAGATTTATCTGAATGATCAAATACTAAAGGTCATGCCCTTGGACTACATAGTAAAATAGCTACCATCACTTTATTGCATGAATTGTACCATATCCCAGGGATTTTTTTCCTTTTCTTTTTTTAAGCCACAGAGGGATTTTTAACAGTGTTAATCTGTTTACCAGTATGTTGGTTGAGTATTTATTTGTTGCTTTTGTTGTTATGTGCCATCGAGTCAGGATCCAACTCATAGTGACCCTGTACAGAGTTTCCAAGGAGCAGCTGGTCAGTTAGAACTGCTGGCCCTAACGGCCCACACCAACGTTACAGTGCACTGCATTAACCGGCATTAACTGGCAATGCCACACCAGAAGTATTTATGACTAGTTCAGATTTTGTGGGAGTTGTTGTTGTTGTTGTGAAGTGCTGTCTAGTAGGGGTTTTCGAGGAGCAGCTGGTGAGCTTGATAAAAAAGAAAACATTAACGTCAACATATGGATGCATATATACAAAATTTACAAAGATATAACTAAACATACCATAGAATAGTGAAGTAGACGCAGAATGCTCCTTAGAAGTGAGGGTGGCAAGACATTATCTCACATAAAAGGACATCATGCTTGGTAAAGTAGAAGGTCAGTGAAAAAGAAGAAGACTTTTAATGCGATGGATTGACTCAGTAGCTACAACAATGGACTCAAACGGCAACAATTTTGAAGATGATACAGGACCAGACTGTGTTTCATTCTGTTGTAAAGAGGGTTGCTATGAGTCTGAACTGATACAACAGGACCTAGCAACAATACAACAATGAAAACAATAAGGAGTTTTGATTCCAGTTCTTATATAATTGAATTCTGGTGTCATTCCTTATTATCTGTGCCAGTTATCAGGGTAAATTTGTTACATTCTTCAATGCTCAGTTTCATCTGTAAGTTAGCAACTATTGTGTATTGTCATTGGTAAAATTAGAACCATAACATGTGTTGAGCACATGGCTCATATTAGACCCTGAGCAGTGTCAGCTACTATTATGATCTGTTCTGAGAACGCAAGAAAAATAAAGGAATTAATAGTAGATAATAAAATGTTCGGCGGTTCAAGCTCCTTGTAAACCCTATACAGGGTCGCTATGGGTCGGAATCGACTCAATGACACTTAACAACAGCGATAAGATGTTCTGTGTTAGATAAAGGGAAAAATATGTAACCTCAGAGAAGAAGGAACAGTGTCCTACAGTAGAGCAGTAGACTGCATTCCCATCACTCTTCCTCCTGTGCTGTAACTGGCAGCAAAGACATACGAGATGGGTCCTGAGTGCCAACTATGACAAGTACACCACCTGAGGGTGCACAGATTGGAGTATGAAAATAAGGCAAATCTAAACCATGCCTTTGAGGGAGAACTTGGAGCCCAAAGGCTCTGAAGTTCAAATTCAAAGAAGCAAAAGGAGGATGTTGTTGTTGTTAAGTGCCATCAAGTCTATTCCAATCCATAGTGACCCTATATAGGGTTTCCGTGGAGCAGCTGGTGAGCTTGAACTGCTGACCTTGCAGTGGGTTAATGTGCATTGCAGTCTGGCACATTAACCCACAGCACCACAATAGGACTCTAAAATGAGGATAGAGTGATAGACTAGGGTTGGTACTTGGAAAGAAATTGAAGAGAAGTGGAAACTATGTATGAAAAACTAGATAGGGAAGAGGGACAAGAATAGTCACTTGAATGAGGTTGCTGTGCTTGGGTTATACCCTAAAGATTGATTTCATATAGATGGAACACAAGAGAATGTCTAATGATGGAAGAGAGTGGTAAAACCTTGTGGCCATGAATAATAGCAACATATATAAAGAAGCTAAGAGAATTATGAAAAATAGGACAGAGTTTACAATAGAGGGCTAGGAGCTCTAGATATTGCAGTTTATCTTTGAAAAAAGAGGACCACTTTGTTTTTCTTCAAAGTATTCTAATTACCAAATAGAGGCAGCCTAAGTTTCCATGGTGTGGCACCGTAGAATAAATACTGGACCAGAAGGCCAGTTAGAACCACAAGGTCGGTGGTTCAAACATACCAGCCACTCCTCAGAAACCCTATATAGAGTCATTCTGAGTTGGAACCAACTCTCTGGCACTTAACAACAGAAGCAACACAGTTTCTATGGGTCTGCAACATTTTAGAAAGCATTGTGTTATATTATTCAGCTCTTTCAATTTACTGGTGCTCTAAATTGATATTGGAGTCCTGGTCTGGCGCTGTGGGCTAATGCGTCAGACTGCAAAGTCATTTGAACTACAAGTTCGGTGGTTCAAGCTTACCAGATGCTCCTTGGAAACCCTATACAGGGTCGCTATGGGTCAGAATTGACTCAACAGCACTTAACAACAACAAATTAATATTAACTTTGGAGATTAATATAGTAGTGATGATTAAGATATTCAAAATTTTATTTATGATCTGCAGGTAAAACCACAGTGACCCAGTCTGTTTCAGATTCAATGAAAGCTGTTCTCTTGAAGTCACCACCCTCTTGTGTTGCCCAGTGGAGGGAAATCTTTGATGATGAACCAACTATCATAAGAAGAGCTTTTTATGCTTTGGGCAATTATATTGTGGCTTCTGAAATAGCTAAAGAATCTACCCAATCTCCTGTGATTGTAGACAGGTAAGTATGTGGATGCTTTGAATTAGTTTTTTTCCTTATACCTAACACAGATGAGTTTTTCATAATTGTGTTCACTAAGCTAAACTGCATTGTGATAAGAGCAATGCTTATGACTTATTAATTGCATACTGAATTGCCTGACATTTTGCTAAGAGTATTAATTACTACATTGCAGTAATCCTCAGAAAATCCCATTTACTGGGGATAACATGAAGAGCCTTCAAATGTTGGATGGAAAAATTCCATTATCTTTAATTCCACTCTTACACCATCATTTTTGTGTGTGTGGGTAATATTAAGGAGTGAGGATTTGGGTTGGACCTATGTCTAGATTTAAACTAGGCCTAAGACTTCGTTTATTGTTAGGGATACAGTTCAGACTATGGTAAGTGTTTGGCTTGGGCTAGGGATAAGGCTTTGCCTAGTTTTTAGTTACAGTTACATTTTTATTTATTTATTTTTCTTGAAATCTATTTGATATCATCTTCATTTGGAAGTTTTGTAACTGCATTAGTCCCTCTTACTTTATGTTATTATTGTTATATTTCTGGTTCTCTATTTTCAGACTTACAGACTTATGTGTGATACTTTGCATACCTCTGTTTGGAGTCTGTTTTACTTTGTATAACTCAATCTGGAGGTATGGTGCTGCAGGCTAATGTGCTGGACTGCAAGGTCGGTTTGAACTGCAAAGTCAGTGGTTCAAGCTCATCAGTCACTCCTAGGAAATCCTGTACAAGTTGTTGTGGGAACCAGCTCCATAGCACTTAACACCAACAACAATGACATATTTGGTTTGGTAGTCCTGGTGTGGCACTGTAGGATAAACACTCGACCACATGGCTGGCAGTTCAAATCCACCAGTTGCTCCTAAGACATCTTATACAGGTCACTATGAGTCAGTACTGAGTCAACAGCACTTAATAACTACAACATATCTGGGTTGAGGCTAAGTGATATTGACATGCATGTTAATCTCAGGTTGTTGCTTTCTGTTACTGGTTCTCTGTCTAGAGAACTTCATTTAGTATTTTTGTAAGGTTGGTCTGGTTTTTACAAATTCTTTTCATTTGCTTGTCTGAAAATGTTCTAATTTTTGCTACCATGTTTGCTGAACAGATTTTATGAACATATGAATCTTGGCTGGCATCATTTTTTAATTTTTCTCTCTCTCAGAGTTTTATATATGTCATTCCATTGTCTACTTGCCTGCCGGGTGTCTGCTGATAAATCAGAACTTGGTCTTATTAAGTTTTTGTAGGTGACTTTTCGTTTTTCCTGAGCTGCTATCAGGATTCTTTCCTTGTCTTGAGTTTTGAAAAGTTTAATTATAATATGTCTTGGTGTTCTTCTTTTGGGGGCTATCCTGTTTGGGTTCATTCAGCTTCTTGAATGGCTATCTTCTCTTTTATGATGTTATGGAAGTTTTCTTTCAAACAACACTTGGACAATATTCTCTCTGATTTTTTGTCTCTTTCTTTTCTGTAATTCCTATCACATGTATTCCTCTTGATGGTTTCTCACATAAATCTTAGGCTTTCTTTGGATATTTTCTTTCTTTTTTCTGAATTGTACCCCCCTTTTTGCTAACCTCTGTTAAACCATGTCTACAGGCAGGTCTCTCTCTGCTTGGGCAGTGTTACAAAGCTCTTTTAGGGATGCTGATAAATGCCCTTAGGACATATCACTCTACCATAAGCCTCAGCTGAAAGGCACTCAGAGCTAACTCTTTGGGTTAGCAAACCTAGCGCCCTCAACTGAGTACCTGAGGCACCCCACTCTGCAAGTAAGTCTCCTGCCCAAAGTCACTCAGCTTTACTTGCTCCATGGTCTGGGAAATCCACCATTCTGTCTTGTGCTCTGGCTCTTGGTTCAGCTGCTGCTGCTCTTCGGTCACTCCTCCAGTGTCACAGATTTCTGTCACTGGGTTTTGAAAGTTAAATAGGCAGAGACTCAGAATCCAAATGAAGCACTCCATTCCTGGCTCTTCTTTGATGGTAGTGAGAGTCTGCCCTCCCGCTTCTGAGATGGCTCATTTTAAATCCATGTTAGAGTGCTAAGATTTTACCATCACAGTGAACTCTGTTAAAAATCAAACCTGATTCATATCACCCTATCAGCCCTTTCTCACATCTTTTCGTACCCAGGCCCATTTAGAAAATGTTGTTTGGTGGAAGTTACAAGGATTATAGGTTGAAGAGTCATATGGCATTCTTTTGCACTGCAAGAGTGAAGTTCTGAGAAGAATTAAAAAAAAAAAAAAAACACCTTCCATTGTGAGAAATTCTTGCCCTATTGAAAAAGTGCTCCATGATACCATGTTTGAGAATTTTTTTGAAACAATGTTCTTTATTTCAAGGAGAATGACCAAAACTCTAATAGAGTGACTTCATGGAGCACATTATTTTGTCATATGTTCAAATATATTGATGCCAGTACTACCCTCTGCATGTAGGCAGGTCACTTATCCTCTCTAGATCTCAGTTTCCATCTGTTCAATGGAAATATCCATAATCGTTTTCCTGCTTACTATTAAGACTTGTGATGAATATCAAAGGAGTTGATACATATGAAAGTGCTTTGAAAAGAACAAATCACTATAAAATATAAAGCCTTATTATATAAGCTATGTATAATGTGCCAGTAAATTGCATTTGATTTAAAGTAATTTGCTTTCCATGATAACAGGATTAGAAAATTCTAAATAGTGAAAAGTGTCTAAAATTGATGGCCAAAGGGTATGATTATTTTAAATGAGCAGCAGTGTTGTCAATGAGAAAACTCCAGCTATAGAAAACAAGACCCAATTCTTTTCTTGATTTTTCTTCTTTGTGTCTGTGAATTGTCTGCAATTTATTCCTTTAAAGAGATACAATATCACCTTGTCAGATGAAAAGAAAAGACTAGTTATTTGTTGTCTGGGTGTTTTTTGTTCTTGTTTAAAGATTTTAATGAAATCCATTTTAGACAACACCATCATCTGACTAAAAACTAAGGGACACAGTAATTTTTGACAGTGACTGTCAATGATTCAGGTTGGCAATTTAATCACCCCATTACCTTTAAAAACATCTATTCTTGCTGATAATTTTTCTAGAATTAAAAAAAAAAAAAAGACTTTCAAAAATTAAGATATCAGTCACTATACTTGTAGCTGAATATTAAATTCAGTGAAAACTAAGCATATGCAGAGCACAGTGCCATTTGTAGTTTGGATGCCAAGAAAACAGAAAGTCTTGACAGGATGCTTCTGAAAGTGAAAGTGAAAGTACAAGTTTGTAAGTGATGAAACCTAAACCAAATCCATTGCCACTGAGTTGATTCTGACAAAGTAAAACTTCTCCCATCTGGGTCCCAAGGATGTAGTTTATGGAAGCAGACTGCATCATCTTTTCCCCAAAGAGTGTCTGGTGGGTCCTAACTGCTGATCTTTCAGTTAATAGCTGAGCACTTTAACCATGATGCCACAGGAACCCATTGGTAAAGAGACAGAAATGAGAAAAGTAGTAGGTAGGATGTGTCCATGCAAAATTCAAAGGAGCAAGCAGCTGCAGTGGCCTAAAACTCTTAAGAACTGACTTTGGAAGTGGATAAGGGCTTTGAAAGATGGTTGGAATCAGGATAGATTAACTTCCAAATTAATTTAATTTTACTTTTGTCCTTTACATTACAATTGGTAAAGTGCTATCATAATATGATGCAATTCAACTTAAGTTATAGCTTATGTTCTGATGGATCTGTAGAATAAGCAATGGACTGCTGACTGGAAGATTGGCAGTTCAAACCCATCATCAACTCCACAGGAGAAAGAAGGTTTATGCTCCTGTAAGTAAGATTTACAGCCTTGGAAACCCTATACAAGTCACAATGAGTCTGAATTGACTTGGTGGAATTGGAGTTTGGACTTTGGGTGGGATGTTAATTATTAAAGCACTTGTCTATTCTTGTGGCAAGTATAGAAGGAAAACAAAGCTCATATGATTTCAATTTTCTGGAATAGAAAATTGAGACTATCTTAGTTTACTTGATTTCCCTTTGCCCACAAAGCAAATAGCGGGCAGAAGTAGAATCCAGCTTACTTCACTTCCTATACCATTGCTGTTGTTAGGTGCCATCTAGTTTGTACTGACTCATGACTACCTTATGCACAACAGAACGAAATCCTGCCTAGTCCTGTGCCATCCTAACAATCATGGCTAAGCATAAGCCCATTGCAGCTGCCACTGTGCCAGTCCATCTTGTTGGGAGTCTTCCTCTTGTTCATCGACCTTCCACTTTACCAAGCATGATATCCTTTTCCAGGGACTGGTCCCTCCTGATAATATATCCTAAGTATGAGAGACAAAATCTCACCATCCTGGCTTCCAAGAATTCTGGCTGTACTTCTTCCAAAACAAATTGGTTTGTTCTTCTAGTAGTCCATGGTGCTTTTAATATTTTTCTACAATACCACAAATCAAATGCATCAGTTCTTCTATGGCCTTAATTATCCACTGTCCAACTTTCACATGCATATGGGGCTATGGAAAATACCAAGGATTGGTCAGGTGCATCTCAGTCCTCAAACTGACATCTTTTCTCTTGAACACTTTAAAGAGGTATTGTGCAGTACATTTGCCTAATACAATATGTCTTTTGAGTTCTTCACTGTTGTTTTCATAAGTGCGGATAGTGGAACTAAGTAAAATGAAGTCTTTGACAACTTCAATCTTTTCTCCATCTATCATGATGTTATGTATTGGTACAGTGGTGAGGATTTTCTATTTCCTTTACATTGAGGTATAGCCCATACTGAAGTTTGTGGTCTTCGATCTTCATCAAGAAGTATTTTAAGTTCTTTTAGCTTTTCAACAAGCAAGGGCATATCATCTGCATAGTGCAGGTTTTTAATGAGTCTTCCTCCATTCCTGATGTCACATTCTTCATATAATTGAACTTCTCTCCTTATTTGCTCAGTTTATACATTGAATATAAATGCTGAAAGAATACAACTTTGGCAAACACTTTTCCTGGTTTTATACCATTTAGTGCCCCCTTGTTTGTTTAAACAATACCCTCTTGGTCTATTTACAATCTCTTCATTTCCAGAATAGTCATTTTTCATAGTGTTGCTGTCCATAGATTGTCATGATCCACAAAGTTGAAATCATAGTCAATAAAACACAAGTAAACATCTATGGTATTCTCTGCTTTCAGTCAAGAATTGTCTGATGCCATCAATGATATTCCTTTCACAACATCCTTCTCTGGAACAGACTTGGACCTCTGATATTTCCCTGTCAATGTACCATTGCAGCCATTTTAAAATTACCTTTAGCAAAATTTTACTTGCATGTGATATTAATTACATTGTCCGATGATTTCTGCATTCTGTTGGTAACATCTCTTTGGAATAGGCACAAATATGCATCTCTTCCAATCAATTGTCCAGGCAGCTGTCTTCCAAATATCTTTGCATAGATAAGTGAGTGCCTCAAAAACTGCTTCACTTATATTCCATTAATTCTTGGAGTCTTCTTCTTTATCAATGCCTTCAGTGAACCTTAAACTTTTTCCTTGGTACCATTGACTCCTTTTTTTTTTTTTTTGAAACAGATATGATACCAGCTTTACATTCAACCATTCAACCAATCGTACATTTCGTTTCATCTAAATGATTATAATTCCTCCCTTTTCTATTTTACTTTTCAAAAATTAACAGAAAAATATTTGATGTACACATACAAACAAAAAATATATATTTATTGAAATGTTCAAAGAGACTATTGATCATGGCTGTTGATAATATGCTGTATCTTGAAATGGGTGAATATCAACCATTTCTTTTTGGTACAGTGAATCCACATATTCCTTTCATCCTCTTTTGATGCTTTCTGCATCATTCAATATCTTTCCCATAGTATCCTTCAGTGTTGCAAGTTTTTGGAAAAACTTTTTTATTTTTAATTTAGTGAAGGTTTACAGAGCAGATCATCAGTTTTTCATTTAGAAAATCAAATGCTTTGATTCTTTACAATGATTGCAATCCCCTCCATGTACCATCAGTTAGCAGTGTTTACCTCTATTCACTGGCATTTTTCCCTCTCTCCCCTGGTAATATTAGCTTTCATCGGCTAATCTTCCTCTTCTTGTATACTGCTTCCCCTGTCACTCATGTAAACATTTCCAGCCTCTAGCCAGTGAGTAATTTTCTTTCCCTACTCCCACCCATAACCATCAATTAAGATAAATTTTTCTAACTTTTGACATTGGTTTCAGCAATATTTTCTCTTTAGTGATTGACTAATTTTACTCTGCATAATGTCCTCCAGAATCATCCATGTTGTGAGACTTTTTGCACATTTGTTTTTTATTCTTCAGCTTTGTATAGTACTCAACAATGTGTATGTACCAAAGTTTGTTTAACCATTCTTCTGTGGAACATTTAGGCTCTGTCCATCTTTCTGATGTATCTGTTGTAAGCTGCATATTGAAGGATCCTGTTTTTCATCCATTCTGCTATCTCTGTCTCTTGACTGATGCATTTAATCTATGTACAGTCAGTGTAATTATCAATAAGTTATGAATTGATTGCTCTCATTTTACTGTGTATTTTGTATGTATGTGTGTGGTACTGCTGGTTTCTTTGTTCTACATAATTTTCTGCATTAAGTTCATTGTGTTTATGGGTTTTCTTTTGAGTTTCATTTTCTTTGTGTTAATAGTTACAAAATCTCTCTGATTTTCTTCAGTCATATATTGAGTGCTTTCCAACCTGAGGTGCTCATCCTCCAGCACTGTATCTGACAACATTCCAGTGATATTCATCATGCTTCAATATTCTGGTGCTGTTTTCCAGTGTTTCACTGCTATTCATAAAGTTTTCAGTGGCTAAACATTCAGAAGTAGTCTGCTTCTCCTTCTTCTTAGTCTGTCTTAGTTTGGAAGCTCAGCTGAACAACATGGGTGTACCTGTCTGATATTTAAAATACCAGGGGCATAACTTCCAGCATCAAAATAACATGCAAGTCATCACAATATCACAAACTGACAGACAAGTGGTAGTTCTGTACCATACAAGTTGTTGTTGTTGTTAAGTGCCAGCTAGACAGTTCTAATTTATAGCGACCCTGTATAGGGTTTCCAAGGAGTGGCTGGTGAGTTTGAACCTCCTACCTCATGATCCAAACTGACCTTGCAGTCTAGTGCTTTTATCTCGCAGCGCCATACCAGGACACCAGTACCATACATGCTGACTATAATATTAAATATCACACACAGTACATTTTTTAGTATGTCATTTTTACTGTGAAAAGTCTGAAATGAAATCTAGGATTTCAAAGAATGGAAAGTTGATGAAGTGAAAATAAAGACAGATTGAGACCATGGGCACTGCTGTACATGGGGATGTTTATAATTTTTTCACTAATATTTGTTGTAAGTGATGGTCTTTTTCTTTTGGATTTTGAGTTTACATGTAGTAACTTAAAGTGCAATAAGATATGAATATGGCAAGAGAATAGTATGCTATGCCTATGAATAAAGGAGTTTTAATTCAGTCATTAACTTGTTCATTCATTCTTTCATCCATCCATCCATCCACAGAGCATTTGTTGCATACTTATTATGGAATACATAAACAAGTAAAAAGTAATTCATATTCAAGAAATTTATTACACAGTAGTGGAGAAAAAATAGCCAAGCTCATAAACAATTAGCTCTTATATACTATGGAAAGTTATTTAATACAGTCATAATGGAATTTGAGAGTACAGAAGAGGAAATATTTCTGCTTGCGGGATACATATGAATTGGAGTCTGAAAGATGAATAGGAATTTTTATGGCTGAGAACATTGCTCTAGATAGAAGAAAAAGTATGAAGAGAGATGTGGGTGGGTTTGCCTGGGTAAATGAGTTTTACCAAGTAGATAACATTTTCTAAAATGTAGTGGAGAGCCATTGAGCATGTGAGAATAGAGGAATGTTATTTGTTTCTTAATGTTTTCATGTTTTTTCCTTTCCAAAAGCATGTTTAAAATAGCCACCCAAAAGAGTGACTGACTTTGCTTATGGAAGACTTTTATGGTGAACCTGATACCAAAGTCTTCCTTTGAATACCAAAGCATCAGCAAATGATTGAAGAGCTGAATAGAACAAAGAGTCCTTCTAGTCCAGGGTTCCCATAATCTTAATTTCATTGGCAAGCTCAATATTAAAACAATTTAGAAATTGACATGGCCTTGCCAGGTTTTTATTTGGCCACTACCGAGCATTAAAAATAAATGGACTACCAAACAAATATATAATCTCCTATTATTGTTTGATAGTGGAAATCATATTGCGAGGTCCAAAAAAAAATTATCAAAGCTTAATCTCACAACAAATGAGTTAATAAATAATAATTTAGTTAATACTGAACTTGATAAATTACTTTAATTTTAAGTGAATAAATGTAGTTTTATTTTTTTAAAAAAAGCTTAGTCTATCAGTATTATTTTTCTTTTAAAAATTTATCTATACTCTAGGAAAACTTTAGTGAGTCAGCCTTGGTTTCAATGCTGTTAGCAACTGACTTCCATGTCCTATTTAATGTCATTTTCCTTTTTTTCTCATGCCAGGTATTGGCATAGCACAGCCACTTATGGCCTAGCCACTGAGATAAGCGGTGGTCTTCAGCACTTGCCCCCAGTCCATCACCATATTTACCAGTGGCCAAAGGACCTGCTCAAACCAGACCTTGTCCTTCTGCTCACTGTGAGTCCTGAAGAAAGAGTGCATAGGATTGCAAGTCGGGGGATGGAGAAGACCAGAGAAGAAGCTGAACTTGAGGCCAATAATGTATTTCGCCAGAAGTAAGTGTTCATAATGCAATGTGTGTGGCAGAGTTGAAAGCCAGGATTGGCACTGGCTTTAGTGGAGAGAAAAATCACATTGTTTCCATTTTTTTTCTCTATTATTATTTCAGCTTCTTCAAATAGGATTGTTCTTATAGAATCATAGTCTTGTTATTTTTAAGTGATAAGGTATTTAACTGGTTTCTAGTTTCTTATTTTAGGATCTTGTTTCTAGTCCTGGCTGTGCCAGGAACAGTGTGAAACCGGAGTAAGAGAGTAAATACCTCTTCATTTCAATTTTTTTCCATTGTAAATAATGGGCATAGAGTTACGTATAAGAAAAAACTCATAGAAACTTTTACCTGTTAAGGTACTTGCTATGTGTCAAGCATGTTACTTATGATGTTCTGTAATCTTTACATCTTTGCAAAGAAAACATTATTTATATTTTCCAGTTTACAAAACTGAGACTTAGAGACCAATTTATCTAAATCCAGAAAGCGATTATGTTGTAAAACTGGAATTCAAATAAAAATCTGATTTTTAAAGCAATGCTTTTGTTTTCATTACAAAATTTTGTGCTATAGCACAATAGCAGATCAAAAACCTGGGAGTCTTACTGCTCCGTGGCTGAGTACGAATCTGTTACATAGGACTATTTATATTATATAAATAGATTATGTTAATGAACAAAAGACAGGAACCTGAACAATGAAAGTAATCATTTTACTGTGTTCAAAGACAAGCAAAAGTCCTGGTGTGGCACTGTAGGATAAACACTTGATAACTAACCTCAAGGTCAGCAGTTCAAATCCACTAGCCATTCCTTGGAAATCCTATACACAGTTGCTATAAGTCAGAACTGCCTTGATGGCACTTCACAACAACAACAACCAAGATAATCAGTTTTCTTCTATTAGTTCAGTTAAAACTCATTCAAAACATGCAAAGAGGGCAACATTTCAATCCTCATTGTACAGATAATAATACTAAGGCACAAAAAGATTTTAAAAAAAAATTACCAAATTTATATAACTAGAAAGTACCAAAGCAAAGTTTTGAACTGAGAGGATCTAGTAGCAGAGTGCCTGTTTTAGTCACAATACTATATTGTTTCCATTATAAAAGAATGCACTGATAAGTCAATATTCTTCAAGGCTAACTGACATTATTAAAAGGAGATAGAGAATTCTGGTGAACTTTCAGAACAACTATTAAGCAGAAATAACACATATAGTAATGACCTTCAACTTGTATGTTGTTGTTGTTAAGTGAGGTTGAGTTGGTTCTGACCCATAGTGACCCTATGTAGGGTTTCCGAGGAGCAGCTGGTGAGTTGGAACTGCCAACCTTGTGGTTCAAACTGACCTTGTAGTCAAGTGCTTATCCGACACCACCACACATCATTTACTGCACAGATTGGAGAAAGAGACCTGGGTTGGATTTGCCTGTTGGGCAAATTAATTAACCTCTCTACAACCCAGTCACTTCTTCTGCGAAATGAGATTGATAATAATATTTGCTTTAAGATTGTTCTTAGTATTGAATGAGAAGAATCATAATTCTTAGCAAATAATAGATAATCAACAATTTTAAAAAATTATAATTAATTTACTTATTTAATAAAATATATCAAATGTCTTCTTTGGGCAAAGTTAGGTGCTGAAGTGTAGCACTGAGATGAATCAGATGGAGCCTTTCCTCAAACTGTTTATTTTATGGTAAGAACATAGCACGGGCATAAGTGGTGATGGTGATGGTGCCATCGAGTCGCTTCTGACTCTTACTGACCCTTTATAGGGTTTCTGAGGAGCAGCTGGTGGGTTTGAACTGCTGACCTTGCAGCTCAAACTGACATTGCGGTCCAGTGTATTATCCTGCAGCACCACACTAGGACTCCTATATAAGTCATTTTTGTTGTTGTTAAGTGCTGTCAAGTTGATTCTGACCCATAGCAACCCTGCATAGGGTTCTCAAGGAGCGGCTTGTGAGCTTGAACCACGAACCTTGCGGTTCAGAATGACTTTGCAGTCCAGTGCACATTAACCCACAGAGTCACACTAGGAACAGAAAATCTCATCTTTGTCTTGCAATGGGAAAAACTTGTTGTTAGGTGCCATCAAGTTTGTTTCAACTCATAGCGAACCTGTATAGTGTTCCTGATGAGCATTTGTGGTAGCTATGTACAAAAGAGCAACTGTTTTCTTTCCATCTATTTTTCCAGGGTAGAAGTGTCCTACCAGCGGATGGAGAACCCTAGCTGCCACATGGTTGATGCCAGCCCGTCTAAAGAAAAGGTCCTCCAGACTGTTTTAAGCCTGATCAAAAATAACTGCCATTAATTATAGCTACTCCTGACAGGTAGCTAGATTAGACATTTTACTAGAATAGATATTGTTTGGCATATCTAAGCCCATAGCTTGTGATATAGTTTCCCCACATTTCTTTTGCATGTTATGTGGAAGAAAATCAGAAACAGGACATTTAATTTTACCTAAACCATTGTACTGTCTGTTGAATGATGGATGCATCCAAGTTTGAGATGGGTCAGGTTCCTGCCAGACAGTGGTGATTGTTTTTTTGCCTGGTATGTTAAACATGGTTTAGGAACATATTTATAACAACATCACTATCAAATCCCCTTGCAAGTTTGTCTTATCCAGAAGAATCAGGTGTGCAGGAAGATCTCTCTGTCTTCAGCTGGAAGCACTTGAACTATCTCCCACTTCCACACCCAGGCAAGCTGATGTGACCCATGTTGCCTTCCGTAAAATATGTTTGCACTTTGTAATTATGGGCTAACTATATCTTCCTCAGCTCTAAATCTTATAGCCAAGAATTCCTGCAGAACACATTTTTAAGTGCACTGACTGTCTGAGGACATCTCCTTATGTCTAGGGAACACGCACAAAGAAGATATCTGAGTCTTAGAACACTTTATAGTGACCCTGAGTAGCAAATTAGAGTCAGATACAGGGACGTTAAACACAAAATGCTTTAGATGAAAATATAGCAGCTTTTTTTTCCTTTTTTTTTTTTAATGCCTTCTCTTTCTTCTGTAAATATTGATCTAAATATAATGAGCACTTTGCACTGAACTGGATGCCTTTAACGTAGCTAATCCAGCTATTTATTTATATTGATATTTATATGTTTTCCTCAAAGCAGAGCCTATATATGATTCACTAATTAAAATTGAAACCAAGAAGCTAAATTCAGTGTTTGTTCTGTATTTTTGTTACAAAAATCTAATTTATCTTGATAAATAAGCACAGTGAAACCTTGAAACTTGTCTATTATATGTTTTCTTGCACTTGACTATCTTATGATGGATTACACATTGAATCAATTTGAGATCTCTCTGCCTAGCTTTTTTTGAGAAAGAGGGAAAACATAATAGCTATGTGGCCCTGGGTAAGTCATTTAGCATCTATAAAACCAAAACCAAATCCTGCCATTGAGTAGATTCCAATTCATAGCAACTCTATGTAGCATCTTATCTTATTTGAACAATAATGTGGTAATAATTCGTTATCTTAAGTAATTGGTTGAGTCAGTTGAATATGGTGGTGGTGGTGATGGTTATGTGCCATGGAGTCAGTTCCGACTCATAGCGACCCTGTATAGGGTTTCCAAGGCTGTAAATCTTTACAGGAGCAGAAAGCCTTATCTTTCTCCCACAGAAGAGCTGGTAGTTTCAAACTGCTGACCTTAAGGTTCACAACCTCCTTCAGTTGCATGTGATCACCTAAAATTTCTTTCAATTCTAAAATTTTTTATAAAGTATTTTTTATCCTGATTACTTTTTTCATAAGAAGACATCCCCCCAAATTACTAAATTTAAGGCCTTATCAGATTTGCCATATAGACTTTTAAATAATAAAGTTTAGTATTAATATCATCTATTTCTCAAGTGATTATAGGCATTACAC